TTTTTTCTTTTTCATTTTTCTTTTTTCTTTCTTTTTTCTTTCTTTTTTTTCCATAAGCCAATTCAGACTATTTTACCATTATGTCCATCCTTTTAATTTATTTATTAAATTTTTAATTTATTTTTTTCTCCATAACCCATTTCAGACTATTCCACCACTAGATGTTTGTCAAAATCTTTTTTTGCTTTAGCTCTGACAAAGGTTTATTTAAGTAGTAAGACTAAGGGTCTGAGTTAAATAGGAAAATTTGTGTAAAGCACCTTTTCCAAGGACACAACAATACAACAATTTTAAGCCTCGAACTGATGTCTCCCGATTAAAAGGTCTGTAGCCTTAGCATTGAACTATCAATGCCATTAACAATTTATAAAGTAATAACATTTGTGTTGTGAATGCTTTGAAAACGTCAATTAGATTTATACACAAAATGACAGGTTTGTCAAGGGGCATATTTCCAAGTGAGCGCAGTATTGTCTCTAGAATGCTGATCCTGGACTGATTGCTGCATAAACAATAAACAGACCAGTGACACTCTAGAGTGGTGTCAACGCTGGAGTGACAATACAAATTAGAGCTTGTCTTGACCCAGTCTCATATTCCATTAATTTACAAATTAACTGACCAACGCTGAGAGGGACACAACATGACAGCAGAAAGAATGAGTGTTTACTTGATAAAAATTCTCCCCACTAGGGAACTGAACTTAAGTCTCCTGCATGCACCAGCGAAGCCCCTGAACACTACACCACAGGCATTGGTTGTTTTGGGTCTCTTAACCCTATCTGTACGTCATTTTGTATCCCTGGGGTTGTATTCTTTACATTTTAGAATATTTCTAGAGCGAAGATCTCTTGAAAACTTTCAGTATTTCTCCCAAAAATTTTTTGACAGACTGCTATGCAAAGCGTACGGATCGGATTAACTTGTAAATTTCCTCTTTGAAAAGTGGTGGCACAGAGTTTCCCACGTCATATGGATACGATAGTAAAACACGACGTACGGATAGGGTTAAAAAAGCATTTAAGAAATTTAAGCTAAATTAATTGAGCAGAAAAAAATATCGACAACTGATCTCCTACCTGTGTCCTTGAGCGCCATCATGGCTTTCTTGACCACCTTCCCGTCCTCCTGCACCTCGATGCCCTGGGCTCGGTTCACCTCACCTGGGCCAGCGAACACACAACACATCAATCAGCGAACACACAACACATCGGTCAACAATACACAACATATCGGTCAACAATACACAACACATCAGTCAACAACACACAACACATCAGTCAACACACAACACATCAGTTAATTTTAGTTTGAGTAAGAGTTTTACGGCACTTGCAACACAATAAGGTCATATAAATGCCGAAGATTAGAGGTGTTACAAGAGAGCAACAAACATAAAAAACTAGGAGGAGAGATAAGGACGATAGATGTTTGATAGGAAAAAAGGAGCAAATTACACCAGAGCACCCGCCAACCACCCACACACATCAGTAAGTAAACATAAATAGGGGCAGAGGACGAAGAAAGGAATGTGAATTGTGAATGGCCCACTTCTTTCTTGAGGATTTCACCAGAGGTTTTCTACAGTAGCTATCTAAATATAAAAACTACTGCCCAAGCCGCATATAGAGGTGCGAACTGGCCACGCAAACTTAGAAACATGCGTGCGTGTGTGTGTGTGTGTGTGGGGGGGGGGGGGGGGGGGGCCCCCAAATTGAAAACCCCCTTCCCCGGGCAAAAAACCTTGGGTCCATGATCAATTCTAAATAAAGAGCAAAATTACATGCAAAAAGAGATTAAAATATAAATAAATGTAGTATAAGTAGGAGTATTGGTCGCTTTTAAGCAAATAATGCTGTTTTGAGAAAATCGAAGGTAAAGTCTTTGGATTCTTATTCAGTTTCTTTAAAAGACAAGGAGAGTTTTCTCTATAACCAAACAAAAAATACACACCAATGAAACCAAACTTCTCCTATAGGTTGGTTAAGGCCCACTTTTGGTGAAGGTCAAGATTTCTGGAAACCCCCGAAATCTGCGTTAGCCCGCTTGTCCTTAAAGGTGACCATATTACAAAATCCGGACAATATCAGCAATTGAGATTAACAGAGTTATTTGGACAATTGGCACCTCTGTGCAGATTATTCATTTCTAGGTCCAGTAACAGATAAGATAAGATATGATAAAATAAGATAAGATAAGAGATTAGATAAGGCAAGACAAGATAAGATAATACTTTATTATCCAAGAGGGAAATTTTTCTTGGCTGTACAGGACCGTAAAAACACATGCAGGTATACATAAAAAATTTTAATTATATATTACTCTCATTAAAATTCAATATGAAAAGAGAAGTAAAGCAGACAAAATGTACGTATCACGTCAGACGCATCATTCAACCACACGCAGGCCAACTGACCTCCCAGCTGCCGGTTGAGGTGACTCATGAGGCCCCCGCAGCGCAGGAACTCAAAGTAGTCGCGGGAGTCGCTCCAGAAACACTGGATCGGGGTGAAAGCCTCTGTAGACACAAATGGTGACACGTTTATCGTGGGTGATTTATTTAACACTTTGCAGTCACACAGCCAGCAGAACAAAATACCCCATGGGTCACCCATCTGGTCACCCAGCCAGGAGAGTGACTGCAACGGACTTCTCGGGCCGGGCGCAGAACTGCGTCAAGTGACCAGAACGGATCATTTTCACTCACGCATTATTGCGCCAAGTGACTGCAAAGTGTTTTCACAAATATTTTTTGTCCCTTGCTCATTTCTATGACATTTGACGCCATATGATTTGTAGAAAATTGTGAGTATGATAGACCCCAATAGTGTATTACGTACATAATTGTTATAACATATAACTATCACATACAGATGTCCAAGAAGATTATAGATGTTTGTGAAGGATCTGAGAGCAATGATGATTTTAGAAATGGCGCTGGTGGTGTGGTGAGAAGTGATGATGTGTGTGCATTTTTTTGGTTGTGAATTGCAGTGTATATATTATTTTATTCTCATTTCGTGACGATGTGTAATCGTGTGCGTGTGATAAGCAAAT